CCGCCGTGCAGATGCAGGGTACCGTGAGGCTGTGGGTGTCGGTGCTGACTTTCGCCCTGTCGCTGCTGGTCTGCCTGGGAACGCTGGCAGAGGCGTACCCCTCCAAACCGGACAGCCCGTTGTCTTTGGCTCGCTTTAGAGAGCGACAGCTCTGCACGTCCGGGTTCCCTCCGAGTCCGGAGCTGAATTTCCACCGTCTAAGTTGGCAGAAGGGGCAAAGGTGTAGATGGTGCCTCTGCTTTCTCAGCCCTTTTTAGGAGGGGCTGGCAGGCAGCGGTGTGAACCACAAGGCAGCGTGCGCAGGGAGAGCCCCACAAAACTGTCTTTGGCTCGCTTTAGAGAGCGACAGCTCTGCACGTCCGGGTTCCCTCCGAGTCCGGAGCTGAATTTCCACCGTCTAAGTTGGCAGAAGGGGCAAAGGTGTAGATGGTGCCTCTGCTTTCTCAGCCCTTTTTAGGAGGGGCTGGCAGGCAGCGGTGTGAACCACAAGGCAGCGTGCGCAGGGAGAGCCCCACAAAACAGGGAGAAAACGTAACTAACCTGGGAGCTGGAGAGAGTTAAATAGGGCAGTAGGAGCATTTTCCAACTTCCTCTGCTGCCACCTACTCTAGTGAAGATTTTGATGAGAAAAAAATGCCCCTCTAGCCTTGCTGAGGAGTTGTAGTAGTTCAGATGCCTTGTGGTTTGCCAGCTACTTCATGAAGCTGTGAGAGTCAAAAACCCCACTAGTCCGAACAAAAAACTTAAGATCAAAAACAAGAACCCAAGCCTTAAAGAGAAAAGAGTGTGAACTTGCCTGGGTCTAACTGGTTTTCTGAGGATGACTGCACTTGTTAAAGTAGGTGTAAAGGCTCACTCTGGAAAAAAAAAAAAAACAAAATCTAACAATTACAAATAATTATTTTTATTACAAAAAATAATTTTCTTTGGGAGCATCTGCCCAGTTTAGACTGTGTGATTAATAGAAATTTCCCCTGCGGTCCCTGAACAGTGACCCAGAAGAGCTTTTACATATTTATCTATTTATTTAATATCAAAACCAGATGAGAGGTCTAAAATTAGGCTTTCATTTGTCCCTCTAGAAGTCTGACGAATTAAATTAAAAGGGAGGCTATCACGTAACTGAGAGCTTTCCCAGCAAGCCCATAACATTGTCTGCCAGTGCACTAATAGCATAACACAGATTAAGAGGCTGATAGAAATACAGTTCTTCAGTCCTGAACTTTTAAAGCAATATTCACAACTCATTCGTGTTTGTGGCATGCTTCTGTGTCATACTCTGTGCTCAGATAACTTTTTGTCTAGATTACTGCCAAAATAATCTGATTCTTGTGTTTTGCCTCTGCTGCCCTTTTCCCTTGCGTGTGGTGTGATCTCCAGGCTGGTCTCTCATCTTTTCTTCTATTTCTTTCACCATTCAAAGGCGGTTCCTGTCAAAACCAGATCGTATTTAGAAAGAAACAAACAAAAAACCCCAAACCCAACCAAACGAACTCCTCTTCCTGAATTCAGTCTCCACTTCTGATGTGTGTCCTGTATGCTTGTTTTAACACTGACTGTGTAGATTTTCCCCCTAATTTCTGGGGTACAAGTACACAGAGACTGAGACTGCTTTCGTTCTTCTGTGTGAATTTGGGTTATGAATTGAACTGAAATAGTTATTATTGCTGATGGATAAAATAATGCAGATTTTTGATTTTGTTCTTCAGATTTTACTTAGATTTCTCAACCACCCCCTCATATTCAGAGGGATCAGAACTGACCTGGAAGTGCAAGAAAGCTGACAGAAACAAAACCACCACAATAACAACTTCATGATACACATTTTAAAGTTGACTACGTAGGGTAACTAAAGGAAACCCCAAGCTAAAAAGTGTGTTGTTTCCCTTGTGTGGTGGATTAGCAGTGCAGAAGTAAAGTAATTAATGCTTCTGTTTGGAAAGCTTAACTGAGCTCCTGGAGTTTCCCTGTTGTGACAGTGACACAGTCACTTGCAAAATGAATCAATAACTTTTGAAGCAGTTTGAACTGGTCTAAGGATGATCATTTAATCTGTTTCAGCAGATGGGCTCGAATCTTCCTCTCACAGCTTTTTGCCTCTGACTTTTGTGCACAGTGCTGCTTGGGAGCCCTGTAACAGCAGGAAGACAAGGGGTCCAGGGGCTCACCCTGTTCCTCCTGAGGGTATGTGAGCAAGCTGTGCTTGGCATCTTGCCAGACTTGGTGCCTGCAACCTGGTCACTGTGCAGCTGATGAAGTCGAGCAGTGGGGAAGGGAGGAGATCAGTGGTTCTCTTCAGGTTCATCTGTCTTGTCTTGTTTGGTGTTTTTGTGATTCTCAATAACCTTCTGGCTCATCCTCCTGGCTTCTGATTCCAGCCAAGCATTTCAGTGTCATTCCCACAGGTTCTTCACCCCAGCTCCTGTGAAGCTTCTTTCTTCCAGACCATCCTTCTCCTCTTGTCTTTAGAACTTGTCTGGATAGCTGCTTTTTTCCCCTCTCTCCTCTGAGGTTCTTCTTCAGATCCACCTTACTTAGCTTTAGACATCTGTGCCTGTCAACTATATACCCCTTTGAGGTTAGCTGAGGGAACGGGTACCTGTAGGATGCAGGTCACCAGGCCTGTTTCAAACTTCTAATTTCTGATGAGACCTCTGGTTCATTAGGTGCCAGGTCTTTATGGCTTAGAAGAGAGCCTAAGGTGAGCAGAACATATGTAGACTCCTACCCTGCAGATGTTTGTGTGTCTTTGGATTAGTCCAAACTCTGTCCTCAAAACTGTCCTGTGGTCCTTGCCTCATACCCCTCTACTGCACTGTTCCAGGGCCTTTTTTCAGAGCTCGTTTCTGCTTGAATCACTCCTCCTTTTGCTACTTGGTACAGCCTGTATTCCCTCTTGCCAACAGGCCCTCTTCCTTTCTCGTCCCTTGTAGCTTGCTCTTGTATTTGTGTTTTTTTCTGTGCTGTAACAAAACAGTAATCAGTATGCCTAAAAAGAGACCTTGATGTCTCAAGCTAAGCATAAGACCCGACAAGTTATTTTGGCAAAATTTGGAGCCTTGTTCTTTTAAAACAGCTACGGTTTTTCCTAAGTGTTTTCCAAACAGCTAGCGAAGACCTGGTTTTTTATGTTTGTATTATCTCAAAGTTGGGCAGGGTAGAAAAGGAGCAAAACACGAAGCAGTTGGAGCAAAGAACTCCCAAGACATTTGCTTCAGTAAGAAGAGTCTGTCTTTGTCCATGACCTTTTTTTATTATGGGGTAGCGTGGTTGCTTCCCAGTAGCAAAATTACGGGGCAGACAGGAGAATCGGGCATCTGACATGGGAGGCCTTAGCCAGTCCCAGTTGGCAATCTTCTCGTGTGCAGCTTTGCTGTGTAAGGATATGGTGTGCCCATCCAGCACAGGTAGCACTACTGGTCCAGCCAAGGCTCATCATGAAGGGACTCGTATCTCCCCAACACAGCTGTCTTTGTGATTTGCCCGAATCTCTGTACTCCAGAGAGCTGCTACCCACCTCTTATTCAGACAAATCTTTACAAGAGCTTAGTGGGAGTTTTACCCAGATGCAACCTGTTGGAACAAGCTGTTGATTTGTTAAATCGATTTCTTTAAAATGATGACAAATTAAATTCCCCCTCAGCTGAAGTCCAGATCACATACATATTAATCGGAACAAGGAAACAGAAAGAAAGAAATCCCTTTGTGGCGGTGGAGTGCAAAGTATGTGGTTCAGCATCATGCTTGGTTGAGTTATTGTAATAGCATTTTACTACTCTGGCTAATTCTTCTCAGATACCTGCTTTCAGTTAGTTTAGATTAAGAGATTTACTTTAAAATTCTGATACTGATACTTTGTCTTTCTGTAGCACAGGTGATGTACTACAATGATTAAGGCAATGTAAAAATCCAAAAGTTGGAAAAAATGATTGAAAAGTGAGATTTGTTTAAACTTTTCAGTAAGTCATGCCATCAACAGGTAAAACTACTAGCTTTTGAAATATAGTTTGGGAAGGGTTGTTTTTGTTGTTGTGGTTCTTTTCCTCCAAGATTTAGATCAAGTGTTTGGATAAAATTTTTCTGGAATCAGAATTTCACTCAAGTGGCATTCACAAAGTTATTGTTTGTTAATGTCTTTTGTGATTCAGACTAATTACATACACAAGTCACAAACTATGACCTTAATTCTTTCCAACCAAGGGAGCATTTTCTTATAGTTATCACCTTCAGGCTAGTGAATTCTTACAGTGAAGAAGCATCTGTCAAGCAGGCTGCTCTTGTCACTTACATTTTCTCAGGAAAAGAGCAAATTATTTCCCAAGAACCAGGAACTGCAGTACTTTCAACTGCTTTCAACTAAGCACTCTATAGTATCCAGGATTTATTTTTTTTTAAAGCAATAGAAAGGCAGCTGCTGTGTAAATATAGGACAAATGTAGTCGGTGATATCCTGGCAACTATTGAAGAAGTCTGATTCAGAACGTTTCCTCTCCCATGATCACATAGTTCAAAGGTGATGATTACCTTGGAGTACCTCAGTTTTCACAACCTAATGTGCTCTATTATCTTAAAAAAATCTCAGCTAGTTCCTTGGGTAATATGGCATATCTGAGTTAGGTTTCTATTCACTTAATAGATAAAACTGATGACTCATTTACAATACAGTAGCATCTAAACCAATGTGAAAATTAGGAATTGGGTTTGTAGGCAGGAATGTCATGCTTGGAGGCCATGTCACCTGCAACTTCCTCTCCCTTCTGCTATGCTCATGTTGGTAAGATCATAGAATCATAGAAGGTCTGGGCTGGAAGGGACCTCCAACAGCCCTTTAGTCCAACCCCCTCACCATAACAAGGACATCTCCAACTAGGTCAGGCTACTCAGAGCTTCATCCAACCTGATCTTGAATGTCTTCGGGAAGATGCAAGGCCATAGACCATCCAGGAACAGCCACTGAATTGAGCAATATTCTGAGTTTCTCAATACTACCATGTAACATGATTATGGAAAAAAATGTATCCAAAGAAATACTGAAGAGCGAATATTTTCTTACGTGGCTAAGTTAAGTTAAATTAAAATACTTGCTGGAAAGTTGTCTTTGTGTCTTCTCTATTCAGTTTTTCTGAAAAGATCATTGTTTAATGGTTCCATGCTCAGTCTTCCTTTTTTAAAAACAGAAGCATACAAAAATATACTTATTTTCTCTTTCCTTAGATATGGAAAGAGATCAAGCCCAGAGACACTGATTTCAGACCTCTTGTTGCGGGAAAGCACAGAAAATATTCCCAGATCCAGGTATGTATGAAGAGGTTTTGTGATGGCTTTCAGTTCTCATTTAGATTTAATGATTTCATGTGTTACCAATAAATACATTTCACAGGGAGAAAACATATACAATCAACAGCTGGGTAAAAATGTCCTGAAAACACATTTTAAATTCCCTTTTTGCTGAGAGTTAGCATCATCTGAATGCAAGAAATGCCTTATCAAGTACAATATAGTTCAAACTCCTCGTTTCCTGATTTTGGGAGCAGACCACGCACACTGTTTGGAGGAAGGGAAGCATTCCCACAATGCTTACCCCACACTGGGCTTTATTACACAGAATTGTGTTCTGAGGCCTGGTGGTGATTCCTTGCATACTGGAGCCCTGAAGATGGTGTGTTTCTACTCATTTGCTACTCAGGTTTAGATTTTTTTCCTATAAAGACGTATGAGTGGTAAATACGTACACATGTTAACTTATACAGAAATGTATGGCTTTGGTCTTTAAAACACAGTATTTCACATGGATTTTGTACCTCGTATTTCACAAAGGGAAAAAAGCCTTTATATTTCCATATGCTCTTGGTTTAAAATAACAGTGGTGTTTCAAGCAGCAGTGGGATTTCAAATGTGCATGCGATAATTATCTAGTTAGATAATGACACTAGCTATAACATAAGATCCTGTAGTAGTGACTACAATTTACACAGCAAAAAGCATGTTGAAAAAGTAAGATACAAGTGTGGTTTTTTTCTCATGAAAGAAAATACCAGGTTTAGTTTTGCTAACCTGAAGATTGCTAATAATACTTCCACGGCAGAAATAAATGTTTTATGTCATAGTCATCTCAGGAGTCACAAGCAAATGCTTTGCACTTTCACTGGCTGTGCAAAGGCTTAAGGAGACTAGTGAAGTACTCAAGCATAATAGTCTAGCAGGATCCTGTCACTGAAAGGTGACCAAAGTTTCTACTGCCATCAAGGGAGGTTGTCTGTGAGACATGTGGTTCTGCACAAAGGGAGACTGTTGACTTATGGTTTGGTGACTAGCCACAGCTGTAGGGATGCAGTTTTCTCTGCAGATGCTTATGTAAAAAACTGCATGGAGTGCAGTGAAATGTATTAGACTATTCTGTGTTTGGTAATGACAAGGCAGAGCCCTTGCATAATGGGAAATTTCCGCTGCCATGAGTTTGAGGCAACACACAGAGTAGTACAAAGTCTAATACTCTCTGTAATTTTCACCCCTTCATAACAAAACTTTATTGTTATTATTATTGTTTCAATAATGCTATTTATAACACACCAGGGAGGAAAAACTCATGAGCAAAATAACAAACTACTCTGCATTTAAGATCGAGAATTGATGAGAAACAGATTTTTATTTCATACCCCCTGTAACAGCACTTTAAACTGAGTATGGTATTTGTCATTCATCGATGACAGTTATGGGAGTACTGGGAACAATGATGTCTAGCTGCCTATGGATATGTTCTCGAGGATAAAATCCTGTATAAATTCTGAACCCCTCTCCAACTTTTTCCTCCTTGTGAGGACATAATTAAATCTTCTTTCAACCCAGTCCTGTATTTCGTGGCCCATCAGGAACGTAATGTCTTTGAGATATCTGTATCTCTCTCTCACTTGGCTGAAATTATCCAGAGGGTTTGAAAGCTGGTGGAGAAGTTAGGGAAGCCACACAGAGGTGGACAGCTGGACACACAGCAAATATGTGTAGATACAACACGGCTGGCTAAGCTTCCCATCTGGAGGAAGTCAGGCTGAATGAATACATGAATGAAAGACAGGCTGGTATTATTAAGAACTTAAGTTAATGAAGTATATGTTTTAGAAATAGTTATATATGCAGACAGTTAGGCAGCAGATGTAATTTGCACTCAGTGAATCAGAGACATACATTCATGAGGTCTCAGAAATAAACTCTCTAACTAAACATTGAGGTGTTAATAAACAACTTAACCATATTCAGCTTGGCTGGCCTGGATTGACATTTCACTTTTGCTTACTATGTATGCCCCAAAGTATTTTGCAGTCTAGGTATGTCTGTGTATGTCTATGTACCATAGAATGAAAATTTAGAGTGATTCTTATAGAGAACAGTTAAAATACAGAAAGTTAAGGAATTTTAAAAAAAGAGGTACCTTGACCTGAATACAAAGAAGTTTTATGACAAAAACATGTGATGTGGCATGTTTGTGACATTGTAGAGTCTGAGGAATCATGAGGAAACCTTTAAAACTCAGTATCAAGATGTGTTACCCCTACCACTGCCTCTTTAAAAGTTTGGTATCTAGTGTGAAGTGGTTGTCTAGGCTGCCTTTGCAGTCAGTCAGAAGGATAAGTATCTCCAAAATGAGCCTTCCATCTGAAAATGAGTAGGATCAATTGCCCTTTCAAGAGGCTAGTGACTCCTTGGTGACTGAGAAGAAAGACTAAATACTCAACATTTAGATGGCAAAAATTATGGCAAATGCATTTCCTGTATTCTCTCCATGTTCTCCACATGTTGACTGACTTACTGGGTAGACCAAAAAACTCATTGAAAGCTCTAGATCAAATCCTGCCCACAGTACCCCTTTCAATGCATATGTCAAATGTTTGCTATTGAGCAGTGGAATACCACAATAATATTTTAGGATAATGGCTGTGGACTTCATTTTTGTTTGAAGGTGCTAAGAGCAAGATGGGTTTTTTTTTTTTGGCTCTTTGGAAACTGTTTTCTCCTGAGTAAAGAGTGGGAAATATTTGTATTTCAAAATGCTATAGTTTCCTAGCTGAATTTTATTAAGTGGTGTTTAATGTCATAAAGCAGCTTTGCAGTGAGTCTGAGTGGTGTAAAAACATGCCATCTGGGCAGCAGTATGAAGGGGCAAGTTCTGGTATCAAAGTATAGACATTTGGCCAATCAGGATGCCCCTGCTTTAATGCAAGTTGCATTTACAGTCTTCAACTGCAAATATACATATGTATTCCTTATCGCTGCTATTATTAAAATGAAAATTTTAACTAGTTCTAGATTTGGATTTGTCAGAAGGGGCTTTAAAATGTTTAATTTTTTTTTTATTCATAATATGTATTGCAGGTATGGAGACCCTTCGATGTGGTGATGGAATTTTCAGCACACCCTCAAACTTTTCCTAGCTTTCAGTTCATACTCCGTGCCTCTGAAGCAAATCATAACGTCATATCCAGTGCATGCAGCCATTGTATTGAATTCTGTAGACTTTTTCTTCCATCATATTTATATATACCTTTATTTAAATAAATTATTTGTGCATTCCAAAATATAATGTACTAAACGAAAACAAACAATCCTGTCATTGGTATAGAAAAGAGTTGTTTTAAACTATTAAAACTGAATTATAACCCACCTGCAGCCTGAAGTAGTATGGAAAACAATAATGTCACAGTTATGACAGTAATGACTGTGCAAAGACTTCATGTATTGTAGCCTCACACTCAGCTCAGCTTCTTGATTTATACAAAACTGTTTAAAATAATGTATCGCAAAGTACATGATTCAGGAAAATAGTGTTCTGGGAGGCAATTTTTCAGAATGACTTTACTGATCTGTAGTGCTTACATTGACAAATATATTAGAATGAATAGCATTTTCAAAATACAAAGGAATAAGTCACTGCTTAATTTTGCCAACTCCTCAGAACAGTTTTGAAGCTTGGCTGCAAACCTGAATTAGGAATTTTAAATGAAAGGTTTGTAACCTCTCCGCTTGTGCAATATTCAAAGCAGCAGAAAACAAAATCTAAAGTAACTCAGGCAAATCTACAGCCATTTGTGCCAGGAAAGAGATGTTTAACATTGCCAGAAAAAAGAGAAGTTTAACATTGCCAAAAGCAACATAATGATAAATCACAACCCTTTGAGTACCTGGATTCTGATCCTCTCTCATTTAGAGTCATTCATGGTTTCTGTTTCCACCGCGACAAGGTACGTGGAACAGGGACAAGAGGAACTGTCTTCAGGTTTTAATTTTCTTTTTTATTTTATTGTATGAATTTCATCACTAGCCTAATGAGGGACTTAGACAGAAGGACCTCTGAAGAAACCCTCAAAGTTTATGCAAAGTAACATAGTATAACGGCAGCATGTTACACTTGTTCTTAAGTGCTTTAGTTCACAGGTACAGATCTTGCAAGTATGGGCAGGGTCCACACTGGGCATGACACAAACTCTGGTCCTTGGTTGCTGGTATTTAAGCACAACTTCTTTCACTTTCACACAGTGTCCAAACACTGGGTAATAAAGCACATAAAAAAATCCAAATAGGAGAGGAATCAGTGTGAAGATTTAGCGTATTTACATCTCTTTCCCACTTTTCAAGTGTTTCTGTGTGGCTGTTGGCCCCAGGGAAGGCATCTCAGTGCAAGCAAGTTCCAGATTTCTACAAATGCACATTGGGTACCTTTGCAAAGCGTTACCAGGTTCTCAGGACATGCTAGCTTTTGTGGTCACACTTTCTTCAGTACAGCATGATAAAATTTTCCTCTTCATAAAACACTGGGAATGGTCATTGGAATGGGCAAATTATGCTTTCAGCAGTGATACTTTCACTTACAGGTTTGGTGATGGGTTCAACAGTGCTACACATGAAATTTTTAGGATTAAGAGCAGACTAGTATTACAAAAAATGTTTGGGGCCCCTGATAGAAAATATTTCCACCCAAGGCAGTAAATGATGATGTTCAGAGGGACTCCAGGATGGCCACAGCTTGTAATGGCTAGCAGGTGTCAATCAGCTGCAGGCCAGGACCTCCTGGATTAAAGTCCACATAACGTTCTGTGCTGAATAATTATTAAAATGAAAACTGGAAATTAGTGAGGTATCTGCTATATAATATCTCTATTTCCTGGTAGTTACTACTATCTATATATATATTAATGACCATGTAAATTATGAAATCAGTAGATGATAAACTACACTCATGTTGCTTAGCACTACCATGACAAATGTGCTTCAGTGGAGAAAGAAAGAGTTAAAGGCGAATTAAC